TGGTTATAAACAATTCATTACATATAGTAACTAAAATCATCAAGTATTAGTAAATATTTTGGCTCGATTTTTTTTTCAGTCTTGGTTTTGGTCTTGCAGTTTGGCGGTCTTAGTCTTGGTCTTGCAAAGTGCATGACCTAGACCGATTTTGGGCAACACCTAATCAGACTTAAAAAGAAAATGGCCAAGAGACCTACTATAATAAATACAAAATGAAACTAATCATGCGAATTCGTAACTAATCCCTAATACATAAAATTTGATAGATTGCACTGCAGCGCAGATGCAAATGGCACAAAATGTTAAAATAAATAAAAATTACCTACTTACAAAAATTATTTACATTTTTTTCATTTCGATAGAAGAATTTTATTTAAAAATTATATAATATAATACTTTAAGAAAGATATATTGGATGTTTCATGGATTTAAGTGCGTAAATAATTACAAGTGATTGCACGAATGAGAAAGTATTTAAAGAGAAGTTCAAAGTAAAAGATTATTTTATTTTATTTATTTTTTGTTTGTTAATTGATAAGAGATGATATGGGAAATATCATAAGATTTTTAAATCAAACACCGGATGAATTGAAATATACAGGAGAGTTATCGATTATTAAGGAAAAGTAATTGGTAACGAGGAAATAAATTCTGGATGGGTTGGAAACAGATAAGGACGGTCGTAATATTTCAAATCCATCTGATATAATACATCATATTGATAAGGAAAAAAAAATCAAATATCATGTAATATTGCTTATATGATAACCGACTTAAAACTCTTGAATAATACATCATACGAGGTTGGACGTTCGCGAATTAAATCAAAGCATTGCCAGTCAGTGAGCGTTATGCAACTAGATCAGATGAGCTCGGCATTTCAATCAACGACGTTATTAAAAGAAGATTTGAACCAGTTAAATTAAGGATAGTTTTTACTTTGTAACAATATATAAAAAAAAAACGCTGTCAATTATTTTACAATGGTTTATTATTTTCAAACAATTATACATTTAAAGTAAAATTACCTTCCTAGAGAGACAAAGAAAGAGAAATAAAAAGTGATTCCAATTATTGGACTTTGGCCGTTTAGGCTATACGGGATTTTCCCGGGCCGGAGGGTGGGGGCGGGGAATTTAAAATCCCCTCTGGCACCGGGATGCGAACTCGTACTTTTTTTGTCTCTCAAATCTTCATATATCTGGTTGCCAGGCGACTCGCGGTGCAGTGCACACGCTTTAGCCTATTCGGCCACCCCGCCCCTCCAATTATTGGACTAAACATTTTTTTTTAATCATTAGTAATTGTTCAGGGATCAACCCCTGAAACACAAAAAATAACAATTCGATACAGTCAGAACTCCACCACCATTGTATGGCCACCATCTTGCTGCAAACCATTCCTGTAGAGTTAATCTGTTCATTTGGTGAAGTGTACACACATTGAGGTACTCTCTTAAGAAATGGCAAGAAAATACAATATGATATATTTTTGGTTTATGCTAAAGATCTCCTTTTCAAAACGACAGAGTGGTTATATTCAATCTTAAATAGCCGAAAATTATCTAACATTTTTTAATATAATTTTTTTTTTAAACCCAACAGAAAGTGAACTATCGAGCTTACAAAATGGGTAAAGTTTTGAAAAAATAATGACAATTAAATTATTGTATTAATATTTGTTCATACACCCTCCTAGGTGTCTGAAAAGAAGATGGCTTCGAGATATCCTTTTGTAAATACACTTTTAGAATGCTACCAGTGGGTAGTTTCTCAACAAGTGGATTTATGTTATTATATTTTGTATTCACATTTACTGAATGTATTTTTATTTGTAATAATAATAATAATAATAAGGCTTAGCGAACCCGAAGGTTCGATGCCGACACCACCAATCGCTTGTTACACACCTCCCTCCACCGTTCGCCGTCCAAACCCAGCCCCTTCAGATCGGCTTTAATGCAATCTTCCCACCTTCGCTTCGGTCTGCCCCTCGGACGCTTACCATTCGGCAGAGCAAATATTAACCTTTTAGGAATTCTCTCGTTACTAAGTCCAACAACTTTACAAGCCCATTTGATTCGCCGCGATGAAATTACCTCAATTATATTACCCGGATACAGTTCACGCAATTCGGCGTTGTGTAACCGTCTGAACTCTCCGGTTAACTCATCCTTCTTCGGTCCGAATATTCTACGCAATACTTTATTTTCAAAAACCTTAAGACGCTGCTCATCCCTTAACGTAAGCGGCCAAGTTTCGTATCCATAAAGAACTGTAGGCAAGATAATTGTTTTATAGATTCTAATCTTTAAGTTCCGGGACAGGAGGCGCGAACTAAGTAGTTTTGTCACAGAAAAATAACAAGCATTTCCCGCCTTCAGTCTAACCTTAATTTCTTCTTCAATTTCGTTTTTTCTAGTTATCGTAGAACCTAGATATCTAAATTTCTCTACCTGTTCAAACATATTACCATCAATATCGATATCGCCAGTTGTAAATATAAATAAAATAAAATAATATATAAAAAAATATTTGCTCCTTAACACAATCAAATACTAATACAATCATTATAGCACTATAACTGTGCTATTTATGAAGACTAAATGACGTGGCAGAAGATACTAGAAGCCTACGCCAGTGCCGTATTTTCGCTGATTAAGTTTATTTTCTAAGTAACTGCTTCAAATATTTTAAAAAGTGATAAGTGTTTTAGAAAGATAAACATATTCTCCAGATGTTTTTCGATATTATTGTTCGTTTATTTACAAAATACGCTTGAATTTTAACTTTAGTTTGAAAGAGTTCAAAAACTATACTTTACTGGTGTTTTTTAATTGCCAAGGCCAATTATTTTTAAATATTTTTCATGTTTTATTATTTAAGAAGAAATTAAGCAAAATGCCGAATCTCAGTGACCGAAAAACTAACTCAAGTCAAAGACGTCAATCTGGTATGTTTGAACGCCATTTTGGGACAGTTCGGCCACTTTTTTCATGGGAACATTGGTTGTTTGTTTTTTTTTTAAATAGTTACACGGAACACAATTATGTGCAATTTAGGGGGTTCTAGTCCACCGTGTAACATACTTTTCAAAAAACCTCCCGACTACCGTATACCGTTCCAGTCGATGGCTCATTATCTTCAAGAAAAGCCTCCAAATTCTCTGCACGAGATTCAAAATGGAATAACATTATTTTCCATTCAAATCTGAAAAATCACTATTGTTAAGAAATCGAAATGGGTAAATTTTGAAATTCGTTAGTTCGCTTCCTGTTGGGTTTAGAAAAAATGTTATGTACAAAAACGTTAGATAATTTTAAGTTATTTAAGATTGAATATAACCATTTTTTATCTACGTTGCTCTAAAAACGAGATATTTAGCGTAAACAAAAGAAAAATTCGAAATATCAAAGGTTTTTGGAGCAATGCATCGAACACCCACAGGGCTTTCAAGAGCGGAAACTTGGATTTTTTATATTCACTACATTCCACCAGCGAATCCAGGATTTAATTTTGAGAGGGGGAGGGCTTCAGCCAGAAAGCTTTTTTGTCATAAAAATAACGATAACTACTTTTGAAAAAAAAGAAAGAAATTAACTACCCATATGAAATATTTTTTAACTGATTCCTTAAGTCCTTTTAAATGTAATTACACGAACAATAATACTTTAAGAGATAATTTTTTAAATATTTTTTTCGATAAAACATGGTTATATTTTACTATTTTGGGGCGGCTTCATCCTAAAAGACCCCCCCTCCCGTATATCCGCCCGAGCAAGGTAACATGTATGATTTGACTGGGCTAAATATCTTATAAAAAATATTAAAAAATGAACTCCAAAAGTATTATTGTTATATTCATTACATTTAATAGAACTTCAAGAATCACATAACCACCTTATAAAAAACATGTAGCTAGTTAATTTCTTTCTTTTTCTTCTAGAATAATTATCGAAGAGAAGGATGGTCGGGGTGTTCAGTCAAATCGAAATGGTAAAAGATAAATAATTTTATTTATTTTTACATTCGCCGACGTTTCGGCCCGAAGTTCAGGCCTTCATCAGGGCTGGGAAAAGAACCAGATGACAATAGGTATAATAACATTCAATAGACATTGAATAATACAGAATTAAGATTAAAAAAAGGGTGATAGGTAAAGACTAATAATTTTTAGTAGAACAACTTAACGTAAAATTTAGGTTAAATGTTTAAAAATGTTAGATAATTTTAACTTATTTAAGATTTAATATAACCATTTTTTTATTTATGTTGCTCTAAAAAGAGAATATTTAGAATAAATAAAAAAAACTTCGAAATTTCAATTGTTTTTAGAACATTGCAGCGAAGCCACAAGAGTTTTAAGAGCGGAAACTTGGATTTTTTATAGAATACCTAACAATATAAAAAAGAAATTTGAATTGCCCGACATTTTGCAAGGTAAAATGTCTAATTTGACTGGGCTACAGGTCATAAAAAAATATTAAAAATGATCTCTAAAAGTATTATTGTCCGTGTAATTACATTTAATAGAACTTCAAGAATCACATAAACACCATACTAAATATTTATCGAGAATTAGGGAATTCGAGGCGTCATTTTTAATTTTTTTGATATTGTAATATTCACCAGTTTAATAATGTACAACGATACATATATTAGACGAAGGTGAATTAAATATCATAGACCAGACATGAAAATTTTGCTATTTTTTCATAATAAAAAGAAACAGAAAACCGACCGTCCTGAATACAGATAAAAACATTTAGTTATATGAGCACGTGGTTGGTTAGCACGTGGAGTTGTAAGTTACGCATTTGAATAATAAATAAATAACGTATCTACTATAATAATAAAAAAGATTTGAACAATTAATATACTCTGAAGAAATATAAGATATTCATTAAATTATAAATGAGACTTATATAACGTATAACACATTTGTAATTATATAATAAATAATTTTTTTTTGTTTTAATGTATTTTTAAAAATATAGTTACCTGAATGAGGATGAGTGTTGATGATATGAATCTAGTAGGATGTAAAAAAGTCCAATATTTCACCTTAAAAGTAACGATAAAAGTAACGGTCACCTATTACTGATTAATCTACAAACACTTTTGAAGGAGAGAGATGATTCGAATAAAATCAAAATCATTGATTGTTGTAAGTTACTATCATAATCAAATATTACTATCACTACTACAAAGCGCGCGATAGTAAATACTAAAAGCGACCAATAGCGTTATATCAAAAGGTTGTAGTAGAGGCAATTACATGATTGATGACGATAGCCTCGATCCGGTTACATAAAGCTGTTAAAATAACCGGTTATTTTAACAGCTTCAGTAAAAATCACAGTATAAGCAAACACGAAACGGTTCAGGCCCTTTTACTCCTCTATTATTTAACCGATTTTCTTCCTTCTTTTTCTGTTAGTTTTGTTTGTTTAAATACCTATTGACAAGCTTTAGTATTATCAATAAATAAAAATATGAAATAGTGTATGTAAATAAAAATATAAATGGTAGTTTGTTCTAAACAGCTAATATCCAAAAGTTCTTCACTGATTCTTTGAAATTTTTATACAACGTCGCAATCAGATTTAGGAGTGTTTTTGCATATATTTCATTATCATCTGGTCTTTTCTTTCGAAATGGCGGCCGAAAAACGTGATTCGCTATAGACTGCAGTGCCAAAACGGTTGCAACGATTTTAATGAAACTTGGCTAAAGTCTTTCCCTTGAAGCATTTATAATTTATGTAACATACTTTCCCGAAAAGAAGCTGCATAAATGGATAATACCAATATTTATTTGAAAGCTTCCTGAATTCCCTACGAAATAAAAAAAAAATCATCGAAATCGGACTATTTGTTGCAGAGATATATCGTTTTAAACATTTAATAATTTTTCTTTCGCAAAGACGATTTCCATTATTTTGGTTTTTGATAAATCGAAAACTTTACATTTACTGAAGTAATTGGGACTATTATTTTAAGAGATGATATCATTTAATGTTAGTGGAATGTTACTTCATAAATTGAATTTAAAAGTAAATTCTATAGTTATACTCATTCTTAACTTAAATACTTCACAAGCATTAGTTAATGGAACACCACTGAGATTGAAGTACTAACGGGAGCAACATTAAATAAAAGAATATTAATTCTTATTAAAGAATTCAAGAATATTCAAGAATTAAATTAACATTTTCTGACACAATACTTCCATTCGAATTTCAAAGAACAACGTTCTTATTAATAGCATTTGCTACGCCCTAATGAAATCTCAGGGTCAAAGTTTTGGAAAAATTTGTCTATTATTGCGACGTCCAGTAATTTCACATGGACAATTATATGTGGCAGTAAGTAGAGTACATTCGTTTAAAATTTTGAAATTTATATTCCCGATGGCAATGGACATGGCTATGTACTAAGCAATAACAGAACATTAAAAAAAAACATTGTTTACACAGAAGTTCTACATAAAAATTGATTTAAACTGATTTTAAATCGCTAATTTAAATTTATTTTTTTTACTTACTTAATCATAACATTAATTTATTGTGATAATAACACACATAAATTAAATATTTTTAATGAGTCTATTTTGTATTACTTATAAATAATTTTAAGTAGTTTAAGCTCGATTTTTAATTGAAACTGAAATTTTGTTTTTATTAATAAATGAGAATTTTTGAATCGGGATTTACTCTTTATTTATTGAATTTATTTGTTATTTAATTATATGTTTTTGATGATTGTGGTCGAATTTCCATCACTGGGCGAACACTAGTTAATTTAATTGAGCTAAAAAACATATAACAATAAATAAAAACTATACATATATAGGCATTTTTTTTCCTTCAAGGTTTTAATCCAAATCGTATTTTGCCATAAATTTACGTTATGAAAACAATAAAGCCGGAATTTTAATTTTCTTATGGTATATATGTACACTAGCGGATCCAGGATTAAATTTTGGGGGGCTTCAGCCCGGAAGCTTTTTTTTTTAAAATATATAACGATAATTACTTTAGAAAAACAGAAAAATACTAACTACCTATATAAAATGGTGTTTAAGTGATTCTTGAAGTCCTATTTAATGTAATTAAACGAGCAATAATACTTTAAGACATAATTTTTTAAAATATTTTTTACCATAAAACATGGTTGGATTTTACCATTTTTGGTTGAGGAGCTTCAGCCCGGAAGTCCCCACCCCGTAAATCCGCCTGTGTATATGTCATTGCTTATACAGGGCATATGTCTTGCCTAAACCCTGCCGCTATTTCTTTTTGTCGTAGCAAACTTCCTCTTGGAGTCTTCTTCCTGCCATTGCCTCAAGTATTTCTTCCATATTTTTTCTGGCTGCCCTCTTTTCCTCCTTTGTCATTGAACATGCCTAAGCATCCTATCAGTCCATCGATCGACCAAGATACTCATGACCTATCTAAATAAACTCAGCATTTTGTCTCAATGGGAAATAGGATGTTAAGGGGTTCTTTTCAAGGATGCCCATCGACCACCATAGTCGATGACTCAGGAACATCGTTTCTCCTTCAAGATATTTTAATGTAATAGTCGTTCGTTGGTAAATTAAAAGATGGTGCGTAGTGAGTTAAATGGTTGCACTGGCAGATCTAGGTTGTTGGGCGAAAACCCCTCCTCTCCTCTACAGGGGTATCCCCCAAGGTGGATGGCGCATAAACCTTCTCCCACCCCTCTTAAGATATTTTATTCTTCTCTTCTTCTTAAAAACAGTGCAAACGAAAGTAGAATTTGAATATTCGTAGATTATATACCATTACACATCCTTTGGTCTGTTCCATGATTCCACTTGTCTTTTGATTTTAAACTTTTCATTTTAAGAATGGAAAACCCCCTTCAAAAAGTGCCCCCCTCTCACTAATTTAGATGCCGAAAATTGCACCATTCTAGACACCCCTGCTCCCCTAGATAGAAAAAATATATATTTTTATTATTGGTACTTCTAACCCCACAGATCCTTCATCAACTACCACCCAAAGCGATCACGTTTCTCACATATATATACAACTGCATCCTAAGAACTACCCATTTTCCTCTCCTATGGAAACATTCCACCATCGTCTTTTTCCTGAAACCAACCAAACCTTCTAATAACACATCATCCTATAGACCAATCAGCTTACTCCCAATCCTTTTAAAAATATTTTTTTTAAATCCTATTAAAAAGAATCCATAATAGAATCACAAAACGTTCCTACCCATCAATCCGGATTTCGTTTCTATCATTCCACCGTTCAACAAGGACTGCGAATTGTTGACCACATATCCTCAGCCTTAGAAAGCAAAGAGTATTGCTCGGAGCATTCATGGACATCCGACCGCGTATGGCACATCGGACTACTCTTCAAGCTCAAAACCCACCTACCTCAGTCCTTATATCTAGTACTCCGATCCTACCTCTCTTACCTCTCCTTTCGAGTTCGTTGTGGTACAGAATTCTCCAACTGCAATTCAATTGAGGCGGGAGTTCCTCAAGGCAGCGTCTTGGGTCCCGTCCTCTACATTCTGTTTGCCGCTGATATTCCTACTCATCCCGAAATCCTCCTGGCAACATTCGCTGATGACACAGCAATCCTATCTTCCAATCCAGATCCTGAAACAGCATCCTCAAACCTACAAAGTCACCTTTCTCTTATTCAACATTGGTGTAATAAGTGGCGCATCCAAGTAAATGAATCCAAATCCAAACACATCACTTTTACCCTTCGGCACAAGTCCTGTCCACCAGTCTATTTCAAATCCATACCACTTTCTCTCTCAGACACAATCCGGTATTATGGCTTTATTCTAGATAAAAGACTAACGTGGAACCCAGATACCAGATTTATATAGACTAATGAATAGAAAATTTCAACTTTCAGTCGACAACAAACTACTGATCTACAAGACGATCCTGAAACCTATCTGGACCTACGGACTAGAGCTGTAGGGTTCAACAAAACATTCTAACATTAAGCGCATTCAATCCTTTCAGTCTAAAGTCCTTCGAACAGTAGTCGATGCTCACTTCTATGTAACCAATAAAATCCTCCATAATGACCTTCATATCCCATTTGTTATTAATCTAATCCCAGCCAATTTTCCGAATTTCACCAGAAACAAACTCATCATCCAAATCCGGTATCAAAATCCCTATCTAGCTCCAGGCATCCATACAATCCTCCCCGGAGGTTAAAACGGCAATGGCCCCGCGATCTTTTGCAAATATGTATATATTGGAGTACTAGCAATGGTCAGATTCTCCACTCTAGTCCTGAGCATCAGTCTCCACTGGCTTTCAATACCAGTAACACGTCCGGGAGAGAAGCACTAGGATCTCCTGGGGTCCTGACTTGGTTTCCACATTTGGGGGACAAAGCATGACTCGGAATCCCCTGGCCCAATTTAAATATTGTATATAGGTGTGTTTTATATATTTCAATTTCATTTAGTTTCTCACACTTTTTTTTTTTTTTTTTTTTGCCGATGTATGGTAATTTTCTTATTTTACTTTCTACAACTCTTTTTCTTTTATCTCTATTTTAGTTATCATTTGTATGTATATATTGTGTGAATGTTTAATGTAGCCCTAATATTAATGCCCTCCAATGCGGCAGAATGTATTAATTTTATTTTATTAGAAAACAAATATATATATATTATTGGTACATATTTGTTACTGTGAGTTACTACTAAGCTAAACACTTAAACACATTATACATAGTACACTAGCTATTTAATAAGAAAAGTCCTTTTTTAAAGTAGTCGTTTTATTTTTAATAACTGGTTATTTAAATGTAATAAGATCTTTAGTTATGAGCACTGAAACTTCTTATTTTTAATTAATAGGTTATTTTAGTTCGGTTAACAAAATTAAAAAATAACTCATTTTAAACCGGCTACTCAAAAATAACCAGTGATTCGAATAACTGGTTATTTTGGCCCAAACGAAGATAGAGCCTCGTGCATTTGAATCTTATCAATAACCTGCATTGATAACAGTACATAAACAGCGATACTGATGAACAGCGTTGGTATATCTTTTCTTTGCTTCGATGAACGTTACATAACTAATTGAAGATTCTATTATTAAAGTTAAGTGTTCTATGAATATAATTTTGCTGATGTAATTTGTTTTTACTATTTCGCCCTAATGTTGTAAAAAAACTGTAAAAATCATTCCGTTTTCTATTTTTTATCTATTTTTATTATTCTCCACAAGTAT